CCGCCCTGCGACCAACACTCCCCGCGATCCCCCATAAATAATAGAGTTTGTCTCTGACAGTTGCCAAATGAGTACTACCCTCTCGCTCCCTCACTTATCGCTCCCTCTCTCTCTCGCGCAGGCTTTTATTTTTAAATGTGTCGTTTACAGGTTTCACAAACTTTTGGTATTGCTTTTTTAAATGTCACTGTTTATTTTCTTTTCTATACTTTTATTACCTTTTTTAACTTTGCTAGATTTTCATTTGAATTGAACTTTTGCTACTCTATAAATGCCATAAGATATTTACTGTGATAAAGTTTTAGGTGCACCTTTAATGTGCAACTAAACCAGAAGTGTGTGTAAAAATATTATATACGTAAACGTTTACTATTATTATATTATATACGTAACTGTCTATTAAAATACGTAAACGTCTACGTTTTCGTAGCAGAAGCTACAGTATATCTGGACGGGTAAAAAAAATATATATGAAAGTAAGCGTTTCTCTGCTTTGCAAAGTGTTTTAATACCACTTAATTAAATAACATCGAATTAGTCGTTGTTACTCCTATTTATAATGGAGAGATATTTATTTTGTATTTAAGTAAGCACTACAATGATAATCGAATGCCGCAATATTTGTTTTAAATAATATTGTTGTGACATGTGCATGTATATTTATACCAGTATTCTGACAGTGAAAACCCTCAGTCACATCGTGTAAACTTCGATAGAATAAAACGAGCTCACGTTACGAAAATCAATCTAAAGATGAACTGCGCCGTCCCGCGAGCGATCCCACACACAACATTGATTAATGATGATCGAACCTTTGGGATGCGGTCTTTTAACTTTTCACCTTCAAATACTCAATAGAACAATATGGAAACTAATGCTTCATATACACATTACTTATTGAACATTAAAAGTAGAAGTTGGCAAACGGTTTTTCCGATATAACAATAACAATAGTGTATAAGCAAGATGAACGATGTCGAGTCACCGCCTTCAAGTTACAAGACGCTAGTTCAGCCATAGAGCCAGTATAGAAGACGATCCAATATTAATGCATTTTTTAAATTCAGATAAGATTGTTTATAAAAGAAGTAATGTGCTGAACTCACACAAGTATTATGCATTTCGTTGACCTCTTCCTTCTGTTGCAGGTTTGGTTCCAGAACCGTCGCGCGAAGTGGAAGAAGCGCAAGAAGAGTACGAACGTGTTCCGTTCGCCCGGGGCATTACTGCCCTCGCATGGCTTGCCGCCCTTCGGCGCCCCAGACGTCTGCGGGGCGGGCGTCTTCGCCGACAGGCCTTGGTCCATGCCCTCCGGTGAGGCTGATTCTTGTTCTGACCTTGTTATATCTCAATGTATTGTAATATGTTTCATATAGTTATGGAAGGAAGTTTGACTGACGAGTGTATACAATGAATGTATTTTAGTTATTACGAAGGATATAAGAGATGTTTGGTAACTTTGAGAATATTGTATTTCATCAAAGATCTATAAGATACGTAGGTATAAATGAGACGTGTCTGTGTGTGTGCAGGTCTGGGCCAGCTGTCACAGTCGGGCGTGTCTATGGGCGTGGGCGTGGGCGTGTCGGGCTTTGGGTCGGGCGCGCTGCCGCAGCTCGCCGCGGACCTGGCGCCCGCGCAGCAGTACCAACACTACCCGCTCAACTCTATAGGTCAGACAACTCACAAAGTACCAGGACTGCAGAACACTGCAGGATGTGGACCACGTTAATTGCCATAACATTATATCTCAGGAAGGTATGTTTACTCGATGGTCTTGTTGCAGGCGACTCCATGATGTCGTACTGCGGGGGCGGGGGCGGCGGGGCCGGGGGCGGGGGCAACGGAGGCGCGCTGGACGGCTCGCCCGCCTCGCCGCACGGGCACTGCAACACCGCCTCGCCCGGCACGCCAGGTATGTACTGCTCTACACCTCCGCATACCTCATGTCTTCCTGGTACCTCGTGCTTTTAGCGACACTAGATTTTATAATTAAAATGATCATTTCCAAAGAACAAAGGCCAAACCACAACCAATCATAGTCTTCCAACATCATACCGAATAGATATGTTAGTTCTACTGTGTACGTAAGGAGGAGGCGAGTGCGAGGAGCAGTCATGGCGCGGGCACAGCATCGCGGCACTGCGCCGGCGCGCCTCCGAGCTGTCGGCCGCCATCCCGCCGTACCTGCAGCTCAACTATGACGCGCACAGCCCCGTCTACTGACCACCTCCGACACCGCCCCGACTGCTGACCGACAATGTCCCGTCTCCTGACCGACAACGCCCCGGTCACCACGCGGAAGGCAACAAACGTACCGATAGACTTCTAACTTTTATTTATTAACGTGGGGAAAGTCTCTCAAGAATGAGATGTGTCGGGTTTGCATCAACTAAACACGATGACTATTTCAATGTCATTTGTCCACTTTTAGCCATACAAATGTATGAACTAAACCTGACAAATGTTCTGGTGTTTCAGTCACATTAAGCACTTTTTGGTGGAAACCAGATGTAACAATTGATACTATACAAGGTATCCGATGGGTGGGAATTTTAGCTGATTTATCATGACTGGTTATT